TTGGTTTTGTTGTTTTTTTTTTTATTATTATTATTTTTTTTTCACTTCTGCTCAGCATACAGACTTAGACAGCCCTATGGTGGGCAAATAATCTTTTTGTTATGTGATGCATCTGCAGGCCCTTCACAGCAAAAGATCTTCTAAAGCAGCAGGGCCAATCCTTTAAGTTGAGAAACAGTATATCAATAAAGGTCAGTGTGACAATGTGATTTATTGAAATATTGTGCTGCTCCTAGCAGTTAGTATTTTATATTATATGATACACGGCAGGTATTTTTATTCGTATTTGGGTTCCCCACTGAAAACTTGTTCAACCTGTTTTATTATTTATTGTTGCCTTTTAGAGATGAAAGAAACCAATTTATTCAGCTTTCATAACGATTCCGAACAGGTACAAAGAAGTTAAGGGCTAACAGGAAAAATCAATTGGTTAATAAAATAGTTAATTGACTAAATGCTTCTTCCAAGAGGCCTTGAATGCAGACTGTTCAGGACCAGAGGAGGTTGGTTTAATTAAAACAGGATCTCACTGTATAAAAGCCTTTTCTGCAGATAAGATTTTCAAATTTGAGTGTGCTTGTTCCTGTTTTTTTTATAGTTTACAAATGCAGCAGAACCAGGTACCATAATTAGATCTTTTCACAATTTTTAGTATCAATTTTTCTCAGGTTTCCTTATATGGCCATGGCAGATGGCAAAATCACAGTGAAAGCATATCTAAACATAGAGCGATCCATCAACGTGTTTGGATCCAGAAAGATTTTAAAGATAAATGTATCAATCATAGACAGACCAAAACCATGTTTTGTCTCATTCTGCTGGACTGTCTGGTGTTTTTGTTGTTGTTGTTTTGTGTTGTTTTTTTTTTTGTTTTGTTTTTTGTTTTTTTTTTTAGTTGGATTTATGCTGCCATTGCTTGTGAAATCTAGGATTTTGAAAAGGCAAAGGGAAGTGCGAAGTGATTTCCATTCACCACTTCTGAAATCCTAGCTGGTGAGCATCCAGAACTGTTTTTGGGCTCAGTGATGTTAGTTGCTGAATGCCTTTCAGAAAGATACTGAATGTCTTCCACTTGTTTTAACGTAGTATAACCATCACTGTAAGAGAGTGTCTAAGCATCTGGTCTCCTGGTATGTATAATGTAAATTATAAGCATATTTTAAGTAGCAGTGTCCCAGGGACACCATTAAAATCATGAAACATAGTTTACAGTAGCTAAACTGACTGTACATAATCACTGTGTTATGGCTCTCTGGTTCAGTCTTAAAATGTCCAGAAACTCTTAGTGTTGCCCTTGAGTCCAGTAGGAATATCCCCTTGTCACATTCCCCTGAAGAGAAGTATCACCCATCTTCAGCACCTGTGTTATCCCCACATACCATTGCAAAAAAAAGGCAGAGAGCAGCAGAACCATCTCTTGGGCTCTTCTTGTACTCTGTATCATGGTTGACATTCACAATTGTTGGCTGATATTCACAACTGCTGAGCATTATCAAATCTTATAGACATTGGTGGAAATGTAATACTCATCTGTTGGAATACTGGCAATAAGTGCTTTTTGCCTATGTATTTGAAGTTTACTGTCCAAATATCTGCATCATTATTTTCATTTTCTTTACTGATGAAATGCCTCTTGATGGCAAATATGCTTTATTCCATCATGAAGACAATAGGTCTGCTTTTTAGTCATGTCACAGGCCTCTGGCTTAGTTATACATAATGGCATCTCACAGCTCCCCACCTCCCTCTGACACTTACCAAGGTGTCTGTAGTTTATGGAGTCTGTCAACAAGCTCTACATTTAATTGAAATATTGAAAAAAAAAATAATCCTGTGATTTAAAGAACGAAGGTTTTGCTGATGTTGTTCAGTGTTTCATTTGTCTGACTCCCAACAAGTACAACGTGTTGATAAAGGACACGGTGTGAATGGCAAGGCACTTTCATTGACCTTCACTGTTGGCTCAAATTGACATTCAGGCAGGAGAGATATTCAAATAGTTAAGGTTAAAAGAAAGGCATCTTTGATTAACAGTGAAGTAATGCATCGAAATTCCAAATTATGTAGGAGTCTGTTCAGGCTACAATTTGTCTTGTTTGTTTTTAATTTTAGATTCAATGTCAATGCAGGATTTTAACTCTCTGGTTACACTTCTTTATCCCTATAATTCTCTAATGCAATTGTGATATAATCCTCAATTTTATTAAGAGCCAAGTTAAAAAACATCAATATGTTATTCAGAATATTACATTCACTGGAAGTTTAAGCTAGTACAATGGCCTGGGAACTCCTCTGAGCAGAAGGTATATATTTGCTTCTATTTTAAGGGACTCCTTCAGTTTTGAAAGGTGAAGCAAACAGTATTGTTAAACCATCATCAAAACTCCTGAGTCAGAGCACTTCGTTTGTACAGCCATAAAGGTGGATTTATGCTAAAATGTCAGACTTTGCATTGTAATGGCTGGTGGCTGGGCATACATTTCCTTCTGCTGGGGGAGTGGTAAACACTGGCTGAGGAACAGCGAGTGCAAGTGGGGAGGTAACTCCTATAACAATCCTAAAAGGATTTGTTAGAGCTTGAATGCCTAGCTATTCAGCTCTGTGATGTCCACCATTGTAGCACCTAATGCTTTTGTGGGTTGTGGTTCTGTGACAATGACAAGAAATCGATACTAATTTTCATTTTACTGCTCTAAAAAGCACAGCGAAAAAATGGCTGTTAAAAGAATTTCTAAGGAGAACTGTTCAAATCTTTTCGCTATTAAAATTGAAATCATGACAGGCTCTGTTGGACATGGTGCTTTGTTGCATTTAAGCTACCCTGGCCCCCAAACTGAAAACAGTACTAAGCCCGAGATGTTAAATGCTTAAATCTTCCTCTTCTTGTGGCTCATTGTCCACAAATACATGCACTGGTATTCCAGCATGCAGTGCTGAAAGGGCTGCTTCTCCCATGAAAAATTTGGATCCCAAACAAACAGCTTGAGATTTCACGTCGGATAATTGGGCTTTACCTGCATTTTAAACAAAAATCCTGGTCCTTTTATAAACTGCTTGAGTTGGGAGACATGCAGAGCTTTTGCTGAAAGAAATGCATTAATCCTTTTAAGTTTGATAAAAGGTTCTTTCATACTATACTGTATAGTTTCCTGCTGTGGGACCACATTTGTGTAGAATCTCCATTTGTGGGGAAAGAAAGACTCAGACTCCTTCTAATGGCTTGAAGGAAAGACTGATAAGGGAAAATAATACACGCTTAGACTTAAAATTGAACGCAATTCAGGGGAGGTTTATTACATTAATTGGAGTTAATGGACCTCCTCTGTCCCTTGTCTTTGTTCTCCCTCGGTGTGCTCCTAGGAACTGTAGGCGATCACCTTTTTCATTGGGGCTGGCATTGTGGCAAGTCCAGAACTGATCTCTTTACAACAATATGCAAGGTCCCATTTTCCTTGTTCTTCTGGTGCATTCACTACAGATGTTAGTCCAGTGTCTGATGATGACAGTACAAGGCATTACAGCAATCTACTGCCAAAACAAGCAAAACAAATGGCTAGTTTCTTGTGTTTCAACCCCTCTCTGGCCTGGATTTATTTTAGTAGCTCTGATATTTTGTTACTGTGACCAGACTCAAGTGCAGTGCAGTGCTGGGCAACATGACATTCAATATTCTTGTTTTACTGAAACCCACACAGCAATAGTGACTGGTGTCAAGCCATTTAGATTACTACTTTTCATTGAGTGGGTATTATTAGGTTTTTTATTTGTCTATCTCACATTGTTTACTATTTTTCACTTTTAACAGCCCAGTGGAATAAAATTTTGACCTTCTCTTTGGACAAGGGATTATGTCTAGAGCAGCTACAGTAAAATGTGGTAAAGATTTTTTAGGAATAGATCTGCCTGGAAAACTTTGTACTGTGTATTTCACTTCCATCTGAGTCCAAACTCAGTCTGATTAAGCCTAGTTCAAAAAACAAACAAAAAAGAAGTGTAAGCAACAATTTTACAGAGAAGTTGCATTTTATGTTCTGAATTTATCTAAAAATCTAAAATAAACAACAAACTCATCATTGTAGCACAACCAGGACATGAGTTTCTACCTTCCAATATTTATTTGCTTTTGAGTTAGGTGCCAGCAAGCAGTGTATTGGTGTATTGTGTATGAATATTCGGAGATGCAAATGATGAAACGATGGGAATCCGTTCTGGCTACAAGGTCCTCTCCATCAAATGGGCTAAACCTAAGCCTCTTGTAAAGAGCTAGTGCAGGCTCTTCTCCACCCTTCTTTTGGTAAATGAGAGCCTTGAAGGAAAGTTGCCTGTGTGTCTAACTATTTTCACGATATTATTTCTGGGCTGACATGCTATCTCAGAAGCCAAACGTTTACCAGCTTTGTTAGCTTTTCTGCTGTTTTTAACTAATGCCAGGTATCAAGCGTGCATTCTCAACTATATCCAATGACAGGAGATCATCTCTGAAGGTTTGTGTTTAAAACATATTATGTTTTCAGGCTCAGTTCCGGTGCCATCTGTATCGTAAAATCTCAGGCTAGCACACACAGAGATGTGCAGTCACATAACATAGGATTACCATCTGTAATTCAATATGGCCAACACAAGACCAGGTTTGAGAAATCCTCTGGACTTGTGTTAATTTCAGAGCTGAAGATAAAATCATGTGTTATAGTATTTTATGGGTATGATATTTTTGACAGTAGCCAATCTATAAGAACATAAATGCATCATGGCATTCTTTTAGGACATTCTTTTAGGACATCCAGTGGAAGTGTCAATGACAGAAATTAGTCATAAGAAAATGACCAAAAGTCATTTCAGACAGTGTTACATGCCAGAGAATTAAAGTCGTCTAACTCAGAAAACTCTGGCATGTGTAAATTATGGTTCCCATTGATGTTAATTCTCTTATGTTATGGCTTTAGTAGGACACAATGGCTACAATTTATTTTTATAACAATACTCATTTTGTTGTATTATAGGTAACCATGATATAATTTACACATTCTCTCTAGCCATCTAAATGGCTCCATAGCATTATTTATACGAAGTGGAGACCTGTGACTTCATTGGAAAACAAGCATACGGATAACAAGACATCCTTCTTTGTACGTGGGACAGAGGGATGGCTGACCCAGTAATTAAACGAATAAATTCTGAGGATTAATATATTGAGGAAATCTGATTTCTTGGAATAATTCAGGAAGCTCATATGCCTATGGACTCCAAAAGTTTTGGAATCTGTTCCTTCAGCCAAAGGCTGTGAAAACGTTCCCAGGCAATGTAGAAATTTTTGCATGGAAAGATTTCTGAGGTGTCTCATCATCCATTAAAAACAAATGAAACAGGAATATTCATAGAGGCTATTTTATAAATAAAAAGCCTCCAGTTCATCAGAAATCCATGGGATCCACCTCACACAGGCATGCCATTTTACCTTTATGAGAAACATCCTTTCTCCACAGATATTAATCATACTGACTTACATTTTTGGTGTGTTAAATTCAGCCCATAACATCACCAATAAATTTAGTCCTTAGAGGTTATATTAACAGACTACTGGCCTTATCATTCTGATTACAATGTTCTAGCTAGAGCTAGTTTGAACATTTTCCCTTTATATGTTTTCAGTCGAAAATGGGACTTTGGCAAAATAAAATTAAAAAATATGCATGAAAAAGTCCATTTTGTCAAAATGTGATCCATCAGGGAAGCCGAATGAATTTCAAAAGCAATAAGCTAGCTAGGTATTTAAAGGGTTTTTTATTATTTAAACCTTCAGGGATATACATTTTTGCACCATTCATTGAACTGTGGGTGCAATTTATTTAATAGGCACACATTTTACCAGGGAACTTATGCCACCAGAAAAGGATTTCAAGCCTCAGCCAAGTGGAAAATATATCCCAAGGTGTGTGTGTTGCCTAGTAAAACTAGGAGATTTAAATAGTGAAGATACAAGCTGACTGTGAAAGCACCTTCCACTAATATAAAACTATGCAGTTCTAAAATGATGCTGACAACCCCCACAAACCTTTAAATAGCCATTTCCAAGCTGGCAGGTCTAAATTGCAGGAAAACAAAGTAATCACTCAAGGAATTCTTTGCAAATTAAAACAGTTCCTTCTTGTTACTTTGTGTTCTGGAGCTTCACAGACAATAATACAGTCTCACAAGCCATTTTCCTATTTGTTTTTGTATCAAATTATCTTTCTCTAAAAGTAAGCACTCTGTCAATAATAAAAAGAAATTGTTGGTAGATAATTCTAAAAACAAACAAGAAATTCACATTTTAAAAAGCTAGTTTAAGAAACACACTGTGCTAGTGTGTATCTTATTTATATGTAAAATGAGATGTTACTTGTTTATATTTCACTTCTGGCTCTGCTGTCAGTCTGAATGGCACCTTCACTGGGATGAATTTGTGCAAAAGGCTAGTTCAAGGTTAGTGCACCACATGAGATATGGAGTATGCTTAGAAAGGGCCCAGGGTTTGTGCTGCCTCTCCACAAAGGATGACATATGGAGAGCCTCTTCAAAGTGGAAGGAGATTCCCTGGAGTGAAAGTACCCCTGCAGAAGCTTATTCAACCTGGCATTTATGACAATTTTACAAATAGAACTAAACTGATATGGATCTGCAAGAAAATAAATGCTTTTAAACATTGTAATTCATGATATGAATTAGAAGTTTGTAGAACTGCATATGCTACATGAAATTAGATTGCAGAGTGTGTACAAAATACAAGTGTGAAAAACCCAAGAGCTCTTCAGATGTTCATCTGGCAAAGAGGCTGAGCGCTGGCATGAAAGTGCACTGTGGCAAATGGATGTGCCTGAAAGTAGAAGCTCTCCCTTTATGAAGTATCAGTGCTCTTGGACATCACCAGTGACATTTCCTTGGCGAAGTCGTTCATTATATTGATAGTCCTAAGGCTGGAGTGTTACAGCTACACCCATACAGCTATAAACCTGCTGGTGTCTTTATTCAGGGTGGGATGTCATTCCTGATATGAAGGAATGAAAACATTACTCAAGTATTAGACAAATATTTGAGAATACGTACATACTTTTTGTAACATTTCTGCGAAGAACAGACATTGTTCAGTGTACTGGCACTTTGCTACTGAGGTAAAAGAGGAAATATCTCTTCGGGGAGAGAAAAAATGGAGCTGTGAGGTGCTGATAGCAGAGCCTACCTGAGTGGATATAAGTCACTGAAAATAAACCTAGCAGTGTGGTCTGTCTCACTGTTGTATGGCAGGACTGATTCTATCTGTAGTCATGTTACTTTTCAGAGGTCCCAGAAAATTCTTTTTGATACTACCAGGGCCAGCATCCACTTGTACCTGCGGCAAAAAAGAAAAAAAAAATCCAGAAAAGAATCTGTTTCCACTTCTATTCTGGAGCTGCTCACCAGTTCCAAGACTATAGCACACCAGATTATCAGATGGCTTTGTCCTCAACATTTCATTTTAAAGGGAAGTGACTCTCTGTGAATAACCATTTGGGTCTCTGGTTGCGCATATCAGTGCAGTCGTCATTAGAATGACAAAGCTAACAAAAAGCGTATCTGCACAAATATTTTCTTGGGTTCCATTAAAGAATCATTGTAAAGAATCATTGAAGAACCTGTGTAAATCCTGAGATTTCTGTAGTCATAACAATATTAGTGAAAGCTGAATCCTGTTAACAGTGATAATTTTCAAGTTATTCCAAATTAAAGCCAAGGGTAAAGGGCAAATCCAAAATTTTCATTGAACAAAAGTATGTTAAGGGCATCATAGCATATTGAAAAGTCTCACATATGTAAGCTACTAACTGGACAAGTTGTATGAATAACCGAAATAAAACTGTTTTTGTGAAACATTAAAGTGGGATGAGCTATGCTGGAATGCTGTCTGCCAGGGTTAAAATTGCTGGGACAATAAGCAGGAAATGAAAAGAAAGTGTCATAACTACAACTATATCCTGAGAATAGTTAAGAATCACTGAAATCAATACCTGACAGGAGCCAGCTTTGCCACCTTCTAATAGTTAAAAGCAAATGATCTGGGCTGGAACAGCTCTGTGCAAATAATTAGTGAATAAAGTAAAATATATGCTAGCTGTCTAGAAGCTGTACTTTGTGGAGCCTCACAAATAATGAGCATCCAGTTGTTTCTAACAAAGAAAGAGTCATGTATACACTGTTTAACATTGTAATTCACTGACACCTGACTTAACCTGATCTTTAAAGTACCAGATAAAAAGCTAGGCATATAACATGATTTGGTAACTTTCTCTGAGCTAATGTTTCAGAAAGCCATGTATTCAATTCTTCTTGTAGTAAGAAAAGGACAAAGTATTCTGGGAGCTCCATTATTCTTAAACATAGTGTGAGGCTGGGCATCTACCCAGTTAAACTGCATCAGCTAATAACAGTAATGTCATGATGTCTCTCTCCATTTTAATAATCTCTTTTGCATTCCTGGCTGCTCTCAAAAGATTATTTGTCAGAACACTCACCTTGCCAGAAAGATGAAAAACAGAGAAGTAGTGGAGGCATTTTATGACACGGCCTTCAGCCCTTTATTTTTGAAAGGATTCTTCCTGCAATTTATGTCTGTTTGAGTTACAAGTATGTTTTAATTCTGCCCTTGAGATGCGGTGCAAGTACTGATGATAGCAAATACTCATCTCTGGCAAACATTTCGCTGAATTGAGGGACTGACAATTTATTAAAACTAATTTTCAAAGTCACATCCAAATCTCTACCCATTCATTCAGCAAAATATGTAGTAGTTTAAGATAAGTACCAATACAAAAACCCTTTTAGTATTATTGCTTTTTTCACTAGGGGGACACCATAATGAAACAAATGGATTTTTAAAGATGTGCATTACAAAGAGTACAGTAGTATTGGTGGAATAGCCTTAAAAAATGTTTTATTGGTTGGCAAATCACCGTTCTGCCAAAGATTAACAGTTAAGGGACAGTTTATTAAATGAATAATACTGACTAATTGCATCTGCTGCTCTCTCTTGAATAGCTTCCTAATGTGATACAACAAGATCTAGTAATGGGGTTCAAGACAATGTTTTCTCTTTATCTGGAATTTAACATATCTATATTGCAGATGTTGCTGTAGGTGTATAGCTTGTTTATACTTGAGCTAGGATCCCTGTGGATGACCTAAGGAGCAATACAGAACTCAGGACAGGAATATTGTTCAAAGTATGAACCTAGATCCTCACACAGGTTTCACAATGCACACTGAATTCTCTGCTGACACTGCTAAACTGCAATTGACCCTCAGACTCAAGAGTTTAAAACTGTCTCAGGTATGTGTATATTACATTACAGTACATTTCACTCTAGGTTATGATGCAGGAATGACTGTCAAACATTAGAGAAACTATATGCTTGGAAGGTTTTTTCCAGTGGAGATCATGTGCTGGAAAGAAATCTGTTTTATTGCTGCATCTTTACTGGAAGAGCCAGTAGTTAAAAATCTGTCATCAGAAATGCGCTTCTGAGAGAATTTAGTTCTCTAGTTGATGCCAAAAGAGCCATTTTAAACCTTTTTGATAAAGACACTTGCAGAAACCCATGCAGATGATAGGAACAGTGATGATAAATTGGCATGAGAATTGTTTTTCTTGTATGGTGATACGATACATTTTTATATAAGTGGGGATGCAATTTGACGTGATCAATTTGGCTACCTTCATTCACATCCTTGTATGGCAACGGAAAAATGAGAAGCTGAAAATGTGTAATGAAAGATAAAACAGTAGGTAACTTCTGATAAGCATATTATAGTTCATCCATCTTGGTTAAACCTGAGTTTATGAACTTTTCTTCAGCAGCAGGGGCATAAGTGGTCTGACTAATAATAACAGAAGTTGAGTCAATTGCTCCTTCTACAGAAGTCGTATAATTCAGAATTATCTGAACCAATAGACCTGCTTCACGTTGCATTTATTTTCAAAATTACTTTTTGAAAAGCCACATCCTGAACCTGAACATTATCATCTTCAGCCACTAATCTCCATTTCAAAACCTCCTAGTTAAACAGCATGCAGCCATCAATATAAACATTTAATATATATTTCTATTGATACTTTATGGGCATTTCTTCAGCAAGTGGACAAGTGGATTTAAACTGTGTGTGTATTGTCAAGGTTGTTGCCACCTTTTTTGGCTACTGAGAGGCATGGTAATAGTTCTAAAATGAGAAAAGAACCATCTCTTTAATGTCTCATCCTTCCAAAGGGATACATATACCTACTTTTTTTTTTTTTTTTTGGTAAGTGGATGTTCTTGCTGGAGATATAATTATCATGTCACTGAACTCTCCTTGGTGTGTCCCTTGCACTTACAATGCATCACGAGATAAACTTAGTGTGTCACCTGAATGAGTCTGTATCGTGTGACATTTTAAATTGAGAAGGTTGGAGATGCATGGCTGATTTTTTTTTCCTTTGGATGAAGAAACAAAAATCAATTTACAAGGAGCAAATATTTTCTTTCACAGTGAGGACACCTCTGGCCTTAATTTGGGCAGCTGGCCAGACAGCAGCTACTAGCTGAGATTTATAGCTACACTTTAATTTCCTTGAGTAGCATGCACACAGATTTTCTTGTATGAGCACAGATTCTGCTCCTGTGGGGAACTATGGTTTAGCTAATTGGGCATGGCATTTGGAGGCAGGAGAGCTGGTTTTAGTTCTGATTCTGAGACAAACTATCACTTTGGAAAAGGAGCTTTGTGTTTGAATGTCTAAACTGGAAACAGTAATATCAATGTGCTTTACCTATAAAATGAGCAATTAGAAAGTATTACTATCAAATAACTGTGTCCAGCAATTTCAGTAGAGATGTATCATTCTCTGAATGTAGGTAATTATTATCCCAGTGTCAGACTCTGCCTCTTTTTCTCTTTTAATTTCATTGTCTCTGTCATTTTCTAGCTGTATTTGAGGATTCTGACTCAGCTTCTATTAAACTCAATTTTCAAGCAGATCTGTACAGTAAACCTTGTAATACTTTGAAGACATTCTGGTCTTGACTGTGATTTGAACAGCTAGCCAGATGCATTTTCTGCCAGGGCAGATCAGTACAGGATTAGGGCCATACTTTGTGCTGCACAGGCACTGCATTGGAAAGCATTGCTACCTCAAACAATGAAACAGTTGTGGTACCAGAGAGGCACTGTAGGGGTTTTATTGTCTGCTTAACTGCAGAGATTAATGTGTTCAAATACTGCTAGTCTTTTTATGGCTAGATGCAAAAAAGCATCATTAGAGTAGAAATAAATATTCAGTGGGAATTTTGCTTAGAAGAAAGTACTTAATTAGTTAACAATTTTGATGCCAGAATAAAGGACAAACTGTAAAATGAAGATAGGAGAAAAATTCCATCCCCCCTGTGGCTTATATTTTTAAGTAGATTTTGTTTGTTTAAATCCTATTTAATTTTCCTCTCTGTCTTGTGAACAAGACTTTGCTATAGGTCAAAGACTGTGAATAGTACTTAGAGCTTTAGAAACAAGAAAATCAAAGACAATAATTTATTAGACTCTTTTGGTGGCATTTCTCATTTGGCTGTTTGCTCTGCTTGTATTCAGCATTGTTTTGAGCTGCCTGTGTTTTGGGAGGGACTTACTGGCTTCTTCAGGATTTCTTTCTGACCTCTTAATACATTGGATTTCTTTACAGAGAAAAAAATTTCTGTTGACTGCACTATGTAAACTGTCTTTTAAAGAAACTGTGATTTTAACAGGTATTCGGTATGTTCACTTCATCCCTTAACTTGTTGTAAACAAAGAGCAACTCTGAGTTCCATCTTTGCAAAGCTATTCCAAATCTGAAACGACAATATTTGGCTTAACTGACAACATTTTGCCACTTGTTGCGTGTCAGTCACCTTCTGGATACTGCTAGAAGAATCAGCATCTCTGCTAGTGTTTGCCTAGAGACAATCAAAACTGGCTGATTAATCCTCCCATCCTGATGGTATTCCAAAACATAATCTTTACTAATTAGGCCTAGTAAAACATTTTCCTCAAAACTTATTTTTTCTAAGAAGAATTTTCTTTTTTCTTTTCTTTGTTACTGATTTCTGTCTGAAAGCTGCCCACCTTCCATGTAAGATTATATCTATATCTATATCTATATCTATAGATATATAATTATTATTATCTTATTTTTTTCCAAGAAAGACAAGACTAAATAGTCATTCAGATTTGTTTTTCAAGGTATTTTTTTACAACAGTGTTGTAATTTTTAAGAAATTTTATTGGGATCAAGAAACGTATTTCCACTGAATACCAATGCCTTTTAAGCATAATGGATCTGATTTTATGTCAGTGGTTTACAGGAGAGAAGAACTGGGCTATCAGTTATCCTTTTGCCAAAGTAAACACTGTGCTTTAAGAACTCTGATGAATGTGAGACATAACCAATAGCACTGGAATAATAATAGGGAAATTTAAGTGAAAAAAGAAAAATGGCTTTATGAGAAATCTCAGGGGAAGACTTGAGAAATGTTTATAACAACTGCCAATATAAACCCTTACACTCATTCAGTTTGTTGTTGCTGTGTTTGCAAAGTTTTAAGTTATATGATGGAATCTGATAAATTCCCATTAACTTAATGGGGATTTCACATACAGTTTGCTGGGGAGAAATGAGAAAACGGCAAACAAGACTGGTGTGGGAGAGCT